TTAAACTAGTAACAAAACATACTTACAGTCGCTGATTCAGAAGCGCCAGATTGTCATAGCAAAGTCAGAATTACCTCCTCTCCTAGGTTCACGAAACGGTCGTCCATAAAATGCATTGCTGTTCTGTTGTAAATGATCTTAAAGATTCCTAAATGCATCTACTTTCGGAAGGCCAAATAAAGTGCTTTTGCTTCCGCCTAGAAACACAGCGTCTCCCTGACATGGCTGCTTCAACACTAACTGCGGTTACTGAAACCACGCCTTCTTTCTTTGCGTACACATTTGGGCGCATTATGCAAATATTTCCACATAGTGAGGTAGATATGTGGGGGCGTGTTAGAACGAGCCGTTTTAGGGGGGCGTGGCAGAGTCTTAACTTTGATAAAGAATATCTCTTTGGTTTTGAGACTTTAGTCTTTGCAACTTCAGGGATCTTATCTATGCACAATCAGCTTGTAACACTCCAAAGAGAAAGGAGAACTTGAAATCGCATCATATGACCCCTTTAACTCTGTTATTAGACTGAAAGGGACCCTTCACTTACTAATTGAAAAACACTTTCTTCCTCTTAAGATGAGCCCAGAAAACCATCTTATATTCTTTGTTATATCATAGTAAATTTTGGCAAATGTCTTTTGGCTTGTATTCCCATGGAAAATGTGGTCATGAGTTCTACTTTGTACAATTAAAAACACAGCTGAAATGCATAAATGTAAACTTTTGTCAGATTTAATTACAGTATGCTTAGAATGACATGCTATGTCTAAGATATTGCTTGTGGGAGCCTTGCCTTCATGTCACTGTAGTACAGCCCTATGATTTCTGCCATGTGGAAAACTCAATCCAGTCAAAAATAATATGGAATGTCATGGAATCTGACAAATTTTGGTTGAATACATCAAACATAGGGTTGTACACTTCGAATCACAATATGAACTAGTGTTTGTCAATATTAAGCAGCAAAATAACTGCTATTCAAAGATTAATTAAATTTTTTAAGTTTTATGCATTCATTTGATTACCATTTTTATAATACATTTTTTATTACATTTTGTTAAAACACAGAATCCAGAAGGAAAAAAAAAACGTATTACATTGGGCCCAGTTATGGTTAGAAGAATTGAAATAATGAAAAGAAAAGAAAAAAAAAATTGGGAAGAGTAAAACAGATCTCCTAGGGCCCTACCATATCTTGAAAATGCTGTATAACCATAATAGAATTGTCGGATATCTATGACAAGGAAGATTAACATTTATTTTAGAGAACTGGTTTTCAGTGAGCAATTGGCTGCCAAATATTCACTTCACGGGTCCATAAAAGTCTTAAGCCTTAAGGCCGTAAAAAGTCTTAAATGGTAGCCTACTGTACATCATGTCTTAATTAGGAGATGGAAATTTTAGGATGGAAAGACCAGATTTATGTGCTTAATAGCTTAATGTGATGATTAAACTTAAAAATCTATGATTTAATTGAATAAATATGAGTGCTGCATGTCAGGTGTTACACTGCTTTGTTTACAGCCATTACCGGGGAAACCGCTGTATTTCTGCTGTTGCAAAAGCGCCACCTGCTGGCAGAGAATGAATGTGCATTTTCAATAAGCCCTTCTGCTGTTCAGAACCAATGCGAAAATCAAGAGATGGTCCTCACTGCAGAACACAAGATCCAGGGAGCGTGGTTGGATCCAGATCCAACTCCTCCCACCTTACATATACCTTAACCTACCCGTCTCCACCCCCTGATCCCTAAACCCACCCATCTCCACCCCTAAACCTACCAATCTCCACACCCTAGATGTGGATCCAACCACGCCCCCTGCATCTTGTGTTCTGCAGTGAGGGGCTACTGAAAATCAACCCACGTTTTTACCCTGCAAACACGCAGAGTTGTAAGTGTGAACTGGTGGATTGAAAAGAAGATTCTAACTGCGTTATAAAAATCTAAACAATTTTACTAATTGTAATTAATATAATAATTGATTGATAATAATTGTTTAAATTAATATAATAATTGATACTTTTGACTCTATTTTCGTAAAAATGGTTTAAAGGCTGAAGTGTGAAGTTGATCATTTTATAAAACATTTTGTTTTTGTGAAAACCCGTATCTGAACTGTAAATCATGAGTTTACAGTGATTTTACAGTTTAATATGTAACCATAGACACTGCCCTACTGTACTTGTATGGTACTAATTTGATTTGTGCAGGTCTTAAAAAAGGTCTTAAAATGTCTTATGTTTAGCATGTTAAATTTGAGCTTAAAAATCCTGCAAATACCCTGGACTACAGTGTAAAATAGAATGTTATTGATTTTTATACAGCCTAAAATAGACCAATTCAATATTAATTAAAAATGAAGATTTTACTTAAACATGTTTATGCAATTGAACAGGGGATGAAAGGTGAAAAAGGAGACTCTGGGCGACCTGGTGTTCATGTAAGTTACATAAATGTGTGTGTGTGTGTGTGTGTGTGTGTGTGTGTGTGTGTTATAAATAAAACCTACAGTACATTAAATTCTGCGCAATCAAATACATAAATAAATAAATAAATAAACTCTTTAATAATAAGGATATTAAGGATATTAAATAGCATTAATTTTTGTATCTGAAATGATGGAATCAACCACAAGGTGGTGCAGTTCTTCTTAATAGTAACAGAGTGCAAGGCAACATTTAATATATAAATGTATACGTTTTTGTAATATATATATATATATATATATATATACACACACACGCACAAAAAAACGTATAAAAGTTAAAATATCAAAACAGTTCCAGTAAAATAGTTACATATGTGTGCAATATGTTTTAGGTGATAAACTACAGTACAGAGGTACATAAGCCACACTTGGTTAGATGTATAATATGCCAGCATTATTTTACTCAGGTATATGGAACTACAGTAACTATACAATATGCTATACACTTTTTGTGTATATACTACAAAAACTATTGTATTTAGATTTTTTCCCTCCTAGTATCACTGAATATAAGTCCATTTAAAATACTTGTGAATATGGACTGAACAATTAAAATACAAATATATACAAAATGTTTACTTTTCTTTGCATCACTGTGGCTATCTAGTGAATCTGCAGCATTGTACAGATGTCTGAAGTGTTTAATTCCAAGAAGAATTAGCATAATATTTTGGCAAATCAAACAGTTGCCTTGTAAAAGGTATTGTTGTTTCATTGATATGAGATGTGACTTCTCTCTTCATAAACAGGGTTTACCTGGGCAAGCTGGGCAGAAAGGAGAGGTGGGCACATCACTGATCTGAATGTACAGTCACCATTAGCTGTACTGTGAGTGTGTTGAGTTGTGTTTGTGTGCATGTCAGAAAGGGACAGCAGGAGAGCCTGGTCAGAGGGGTCAGTTCGGCCATCAGGGGCTTCCTGGACAACAAGGACAGACAGGACCCTCAGGGCCTAGAGGACAGAGCGGAGAAATAGGCCCCCCGGGACAACCTGGACCTGAAGGACGACCTGTGAGTATTGTGTTTCCAAATAACTATATGAGCTTAAAAATGTACTGTAGCCTTCTTCTCCAATAAAATAATCTAGTCAGTGGTGGATAAAATGTTGCATAGACAGTTAAATAGAAACTTTTGTTCCAATGATGGCATGCATTTTTGCAGGGCAGAGAGCTGTCTGAGCAACATATTCAGCAGATTTGCAGAGATGTCCTTCGATGTGAGTACCCAAAATGATCTCCCAGAAGTGCACTATAGCATTTTTAATAAATTATATAAATATACATATACAAGTGAATCAAAAAACATGTCCACCTCAAATTTCATGGCAAAAAAAAAATAAAGAAAAAATAAATAAACTAAATAGTATATAACTAAATAACTAAAAAAAAAAAAAAATGAAATTAAGCTTTTTTTTTACTGAAATTTAGACACTTTTAAATGTTTGTTCAGTATGATACTCATCTTTTCAGTGTTCAAGACACTGAAAACAGTGAGACTACATAAATATTGATATTAAATTAAAAATTTTTTGTAAAATTTTGAATCCATGGATAGTCCTAATATATATACAAACATACTGTATACACACACTTATAAATATATACATGTATACATTATGCAGCATAAATGAGTACACCCCCTCTGAATATAAAGATAAATGTAATAAACATACTTAATAAACACACACACACACACACACACACACACACACACACACACACACACACACAC